AATTATAGAGGTCAAGAGAAACATAAAAGTTATATATAAAAAAATATTGATAAAAACTTATTAAAGTTATAAATTCATTAAATAAATTAATTATAAATAATTATTCTTTTATAATTAATTTAAATTATAATAATTTAAATAAAAATAGAAAAAGACAACAGTATAACAAAAATAAAAATATCCCATATTTTAGTTTATATATATATTTTATATATAATTTATATATTTTTGTTTAATATAAACTTTAATTGTTTGTAACTTAATAAATAAACTTCAACTTAATTTAAACCATAATTAATAAAAAGTATATCAACTTGCATATTAATTTGTGTGTTTATTTTGGCCTCTTTAAAATTAATCTCCCAAAAATAATGTGAATATGAATATATTATCCCTTGTATATAGATATACTGTCTTAATATTCAAAAACATTTTTTTTAAATCTTTTAGTAATCATTTGTTATTAAAAAAAATTCATAAGCGATATATACAAATAATAAGATATAATGATTCATAGTTAGAATATTTCAAAACTTATTTATAAAATAAATCTTGGTAACACAATTTATTATAGGAGGATTATTACATGAATTATCTAATGAAGGTGCACGATGCCAATTTGAAGTATTTCTTGAAGATTTAATATTACCACTTATGGTAAATAGCGCACGTAGAGGTGATCGCGAATGTCACATTGTTGTTTTATTGGAAGATGATATTGTTGATTGGGATGAAGAATATCCTCCACAGATGGGAGAAGAATATTCACAAAGTAAGAATGTAAAAGATACTGATTTTTTACTTTTTTTTTTTTTATATTATCAAATATATTTCAGAATATTTGACCTTACTACAGTATATTGAATATATACAATAGAAAATCAATAATTTTATTGGATGTATAGTTTTTAATGAAGTGCTTTATATTTTTCAGCTGTTAACAGTACTGCGATGTATCGATTTTTCAAATATATCGAAAATAGAGATGTAGCCAAACAGGTAATGAAGGAACGTGGTTTAAAAAAAATTCGTTTAGGCATTGAAGGTTATCCTACTTATAAAGAAAAAATCAAGAAGAGAGCAGGAGGACGCGCTGAAGTAATTTATAATTACGTACAAAGACCATTTATTCATATGTCTTGGGAGAAAGAAGAAGCGAAAAGTCGACACGTTGATTTTCAATGTGTAAAATCAAAATCTGTGACTAATCTTGCTGAAGCTACAGCTGATCCAGTATTAGATGCTGGTGGAAATCCAATAGCTATCGCTCTTTTGCAAGCAACAGAACCAGTGCCTCAACCAGAAGTCATATTACCAGTCGGTCAAGATGTTGATGTTGAAGGTGCCATAGGTTTACCAGCTGATCAAGATCTTGGATCGATACCTCCTGATGAATTGCCATGAATATTGATTGTAGATAGAAATTAGAATGAACAGGCATGAAATTCGATTACCAAGTATTTATGAACTGCTTTCTTCTTGCGTCAATTTCCAAATTTAGTCGGATTCGCTTATCTCACAATTTCATTTTATCAATTAAAAGTTTCATCAATTAAAAAGTTAAACTTAAAATTATTGATTTTCAAAATAAGATATTTCATCATTCATTCCATTTTTATAAAATAATCGATATTAAAAAAAGTAAAAATTGTTTGAATATAATTATGTTTTAAATAGAAAAATTTTTTATGAGTTAAGCAAGTCTGATTTTGACACAGTCAAAACAATGTATAGTGAAGTTATCGCATCTTGTGGATGTCCAACTAATTTAAAAATGTCTGCTGTGACTTTTTTAATTTTGTATGTAACGTCACACGTTTCTCATAATTATATGTCAAATATGAAATAAGAATTCGTTTGGTATGTATTTGTGAAGGGTATTCCCTTTTTATACAATTAATAAAGTTGAATACTGTTTCCGAGATTGTTTTCTTGTTTTCACATGTTATTTCATATTATAAATTTTATTTATATATTTTATAAATATTTTGAAATTATAAAATAAAAAATATATAGAAAATAAAGTTATACTTAAATAAAGCATGAGGTAAATCGTGCATCTCGACTTAATAATAAAAGTAAAAAATTATAGATATTAAAAAAAATTTTTTATTGGATATTTATCAAATAAATTCATATTTAACGTTTTTCTAAAATAGTTTATTTCTTTAAATAAATTTATTTTAAAGAAGAGTATTTAAAAGATTCAAAAAGAACGAAAATAAAATAATAAAACAAATATATCAGAAAGAAGAAAATTTCGATTGATATCAATCGATGATAAAATTTCATATAAAAGGAATGATAAATTCTATCACGAAAGATCGGAAACATCGGGAAAAGTCGGAAAAAAGAGAATGAGAAATGCCGAAGACGTAGATCAAGAGAACGCAGGCGCGTATGCGATCAATAAATAGGCTAACTCAGTTGGAGAACAGGAGATCAGTAGCATACGAACACGCAAGCAGTGAGGGTGGTAGCGTGTGTAATATTGTGTCGGGTGAGGCGTACGAAAACAACAGAGCACCCCTCCCCGGCGGACGGTGTAAAACGGGCTGCCAGCGGTGAGGCTGCAGAGCAGGCCGCTCGTCCAGCATGCAACCACCACCAAGAAAAGTAAGCCGATGAAGTTGACATTTTTCTGTCTATCTTTGCTGTCCAATTTTTCAAATAATTTTTTCCTTTCTTTATCTTTATATCAAATTTTATTTTATATAATTATGCTTTTAATACATATTCTTCCAAAATGAATAAATTAAAATCTTCTCTAAGTAAAAAACTTCTTTCATATTTTATATTTAAACGAATTAAAATGAATGAATATAAAACTGTACAAATAGAATTTCTATATGAACTTTAAAATATGATATGTATTGAAGGAGGCATAAAAGAAGTCTCACTTCTTGATACGATCGAAATGTGCGAATTTGACCGTTTATCGATCTTTAGCGATATCTTATGGAAAAATTGACGTAAATGGTACTCGAACGTTACCACGATAGGGAAAATCGATGCGCACGGTCCTAGCCACGAATCTATATCAAAAGCTGACCTCAAAATGTATAGAATGGCCAAAGACCTGGGTTAATATCGTGTCAGATCGAAACAGATATGCGTCTCTATTGGTAATGACTTCTGCTTTTCTTTTGATTTTTTGTTTTTATTTCGTTTTAGAAATGTGGTTTATTTAAAATTTATTGCAAATTTAAATCCTGTCCTTGAAATTTCCATTTATCTCCTTTATTATATAATAGGACTATATTCTCATAGAAATCGATCCTAAATTTTGAATATAGAACGATTTTTAATGGCCATGTTTCTTGATCAGAAATTTTATATAAATTTCATTTGTTTTAAAATTTAAAATTTTTTAAATTGAGCAAGAAAAATAAAAGAGTTATTTAATAGATAGTAATAATCAGAATAAAAGTTCTTCTGGAAAATGTCTTTTTCTATATACAATTTTATACAAGATATCTAATTTTTGAAGCAAAGTATGCTGCAATAATTATTCGATAAATCGATAAATAATTCTTTTACTGTATATATAATTAATAGTTTATATCCACTTTCAATTTTCCCACATTCTGAAACATAACCTGAAGAATATATTGTGTAATTTTATATTTTTCCATTAATTAATTAAATTTGAAGAAGATATAGAAAATAGTCGGAAGTTTTCTCTTTTATTTAGTTAACTCTATTCTTTTAAAGAGAATTCTCCGATATATTTATCAAGATAGCGAGCCGGCTTTTCGCCTTACTTCATTACAATGAAGTTTCATAATTAAAGATGGGACAATTCCTGACCCACTTAGATTTGCCGAATGCCAATCAAGTAATAAGAATCCAAAATGGTTCGCAAAAAAAAATGCGTATTTTACTAAAATTGTTTGGAAAGCATACTTCCTTTCGGCGAAATTTAGTCTAGCTTCTTACGAGTATTCTTTTCTATTTGCTTTTCGCACGGAAAAAAGGAGAAGGATTTTTCTTCATGTCTTCCGGATAAGACATTTCATGTTTACCCTTCTTTATACTTGAAATTTTTTCTTTGACAAGAATATTCAAAGAAAAAAATTTTTTAAAATTTTTTTTAAATAATAAAATTTATAATAAAATTTTTAATAATTTACTTATTTATTAGATTGAAGTAAAATAATTTTATCATGATATATTTATTCTATTTGAAAAATATTTTTCTAAAAAATAAACTATTCTAATCTATAAATATTTTTGGCTATTATTTTGATCTATTTATTGCTTAAAATTCTTTATTGTAATATTATTTCACTTTCATTTAAGTACTCAAGTCTCATATAAGTTAAAAATCATCTTTTCATTCAATAGAAGAATTGAATCAAAAAGAATTATTATAATTAGATACAATTTTCTTCTTATCATTAAAATGTATTCAAAGTAATATCATAACATAAGTGATTAAGTAGTGGTAAATTTATTAAAAATTATATTTTATATATAATGCAAATGAATTAAAACAAAATGAATAGATCATTTTTTT